CACTCTTTCATGCCCAAAAGCCCTAATCAGCCTGGCAGTGTCAATGGTGGAAATGGAACTGCTCACCTCAGTCTGAGTAGCAGTTTCCACCTCCATTTGGGTCACAACATCTGATTCAGAGGTGGTGGAACTGATTGTGGTGCCATGACCTCTACTAAGCCTTGTCTCTGAGGAAGTGTCACTAGGAGTTTCCAAGTACGGCTGGTGCTCCAAAATTTTCTTCATGTGGCAGATAATTTTTTCTCCTGACCTATTTTTCCTGAGCTCAGCGAAATTGTTTTTATCATGGGTGGTATGTGGTCTTTCTTCAACATGTGTTGCATTAGACTCAAAGGTACTTTCAGACATACTCTTTTCTGGCAGTCTTATTTTCTTCTGCTCTCTTCCCTTATTTTTTTTTTCAGAAACATTCTTTTCAGATTGTGTTGGTATTAGTGTATACTTAATGGGATTCTGAAGGACCCTGGCCAATCGATCGAGGCGTTCAACAAGGGACAGCTCGCCATTACTCCTACAACCATGCTGCTGATGTCTCTTCTGGCACTCCAAAAACTTAATCCAGAGTTCATCTAAGCTACCACTGGAGTAGGTTCTCTGTCTCGGTGGCAGACCTTTCTCCACATTCTCATTAAGGTGGGTGGTTTGGCTACACGGATCAGGATAATATCTAGTTGTCTTTTGTTCTGCTTCTCTTCTGCCATGTTGAAGTAGGTCCCTCCCTGATGTTTCATTCCCCAAAGATATGCTGACATTTAGATCCTCGTTCTTGCTGTTATCTGCTTCTGCAGTGAGCGGAAAGAATTCATTTTCACCATTTTTTTTATGATGAACAGAGAAAACACGTTGATGACGATGTGCTTTTTTCCTATTCTGCAGGACAGCCCTTGAGGAAGGTCTAGCATGTCCAATCCCAGAACTCTCTTCTGATAGCTCGCTGTTAGACAGGAAGTAGCTCTCACACCTGGGCACTGGATGGTGAAGGTAGAACTGGGCAGATTTGAAGACCGAATGAGTGGTTTTTACAGATTTCAGATGATCTGTGTGTTCTAGAAGAGAAGAAAACACTTTAAATTTTTGTTTCTTTACAGGGAAGTAAGTAGCAAACTGCACATCTTAGGGTGATTTTCATCCTAACATCTTCCAATCGCTTCCAAGGATTAAAAGCGGGAATCATTGTACCCACTCTCGAAATGCAACAAACTTAGAAATGAAGTTTCAGCATTATTAAAAGTACATAGAATCCCAGACTGGTTTGGGTTGGAAGGGACCTCAAAGCCCATCTAGTTCCAACCCCCTGCCATGGGCAGGGACACCCTCCACTAGCCCAGGTTGCCCAAAGCCCCATCCAACCTGGCCTTGAACACTGCCAGGGAGCCAGGGGCAGCCACAGCTTCTCTGGGCAACCTGGGCCAGGGCCTCAGCACCCTCACAGGGAAGGATTTCTGCCTCCCATCTCATCTCCATCTCCCCTCCTGCAGCTTCAGGCCACTCCCCTTGGCCTGTCACTCCCTGCCCTTGTCACCAGCCCCTCTCCAGCTTTCCTGGAGCCCCTTTAGATACTGGTAAGCTGCAATTAGGTCTCCCCGGAGCCTCCTCTTCTCCAGGCTGAACAACCCCAAGTCTCTCAGCCTGTCTCCAAAGCAGAGGTGCTCCAGCCCTCTGATAATCCTCGTGGCCTCCTCTGGACTTACATAAATAATATTTTCTATCGTATGCAACATGGAATCCAAGAGAATATTATATCCACCTGAACCTGAAGGAGGAATCTTGATACACCACAGGTATACAATAACAGACAAAAATTTGGACTGAGCATTTACATTTGTGGAAACTCCTAACAGGCAGCCACAACTTATTTTGCCTTTTATTCAGACAAATGCCCAGGGAGTACAATGTCCCCTAAGGCTATGTCTGAACATTACCTCTTACCTAACTCAGAATAGCACTATATGTAAGACAGCCAATACCATTTCCTGTACAGCTCCTAGAACCATCTCTGATAGCACACCGAGATGCAGTCCTGCTTTGCTTTCAAGCTCAGATGACACATTTTAGTTCACAGCAGCAGCGAAATCCCCCCAGAATACGCTACCATCTGAAATTATAAAGGACTATATGCCAAAATCCAATTATAAACTTATTTGTAATAGACATACATTAAGTATGCATGCAGTATGTGCTAGCAGGAATATACTCCAAAATAATTGTAAAGTCTTTTGTAATATACAGTAAAAAAAAAAAAAAAAACCAAACAACAACCAAATTTTAAAAAGTAAAAATGTGTTTCATGTTATGTTCTTTGTATAATGGGCTGAGTTATACAATGATCCATCAAGGCAGAAAGCAGGGATTATAGATGCTAGTGCCAGAAGCATTTCCCAAGTCTCTATGCTTACTGAAAGATATTCCCCATGCCATTTTAGCTAAGTATGTCATTTAAAGATGCCTTATAGAGAAGTAATGGCTTTAATAAAAATAAAAAAGTCAATCAAAAAAAAAGAACAGTCCATTTACTAATGATAACAGCAGTGACTAGGTAACAGGGAGCTGTCAGCAAATGCATATCAAGCTCCATTAATGGCAGGAATCACACTCACCCTAGTTTTACTCTAGCTTTCCAACATTTCTCCCAAATTTGGGTTTTTGTTGCTTTGTTTCCATGACTGTGATCTACTGATGAAAACAGAACTGGAAACTAGGTCTTCCTTTCTTCATTTGAGCAAGCTTTGCCACCAATTCAGCAAAAGGGTGGCAAGTCCCACAACCAAGCCTCTCCCTACCCTGGGAGGAAAATACCTTCCTACCTCATCAAGAATCACAAGCTATTTTTTTATAACGCCTCAATAAGGCTCAGGAAGAGTTAACGACTGTGTGAATTCATACTGTAACACTGCCTCCCAAACCTTAATTTTATTTAGTCACTTGTTTTGCTTACATTCTATACACCCCTTCCCAACACAGAGACACTTCAGTGTAATGTCAAGATCATGAGTAGCATAACCAGACCCGGCCTCACTAACTCTGAAACTCAAGGAATTTGTCTTTCCATACAAGGTCAATGTTTATATACTCATGTAAAAAGATTCCTCCACATCCTCCTGAGAAATGAGATCAGGTTTGGGAATACTATGCAGAATTTTTGCTATTTCTCTATTTTTAAAAAATTACCAACAAAATGGAAGGAATGCAAACAGGCAAAAAATAAAAAAAAAATTATATGGAGAAACTTTTTTTAAAAAATGCATAACTTGCATAATTTAAACTCTAGACAAGCTCTGTGGGTAGAGGTAATCTTTTATTAGACCATCTAAAAATATAGTTGAAGAAGTCAGAGAAGATTTTAGACATGCAAGCCTTTCTACAGAAAGCTTACTTAAATTTCCAACTGTACTGGTTGGTTTAACAAAAGATTATTTCTACTTACAGTTCTTTTCTTGCCTGTGTCTTTAGACCATCACAGCTACAGAAAAATACTATTAGATAATTTTATATTAACATTTGTGTTCCCCTTTTATTTTTATCCAGGCTATTCAGCCAGACAGCTATCCCTTGATTTCTGCTCCAACATGATATTTTGTTTGTTACTGAAGATTCTTCTTCCGAGTGCTCGCTTCTATACACACGCTCTTTCTTCAGCTCTACTGCCATGACCCAGCATTCTTCTTCTGAGTTATGGTGAATGAAGAAAAGCATTTTTCCGTCTTACTCCACTTGTTTCTGTATCCCTACCTTTTACAAACACTCCCAGAGAATTATTTCTTCCATTAGAAAAATGAGGTTATGACAACATTGTCTTTATTGTTGCATTAATTAAACTATTGGCCCTATGTACATTTACCAAAAAAAAGTAAAATGAACGTAAAATAATGAAGTTCACTGTGTCATATGCAATCATTCTAAATTATCTTCTGGAAATATCAAAAACTCTCCATTCTGAAGAGAAAATCTTCAAAGAAAACCCCTTCTAAAGTAAAGAATTAAAATCATCAGAAGGAATCCCTATCAATACATCACTACAGCTCTGGGGTGACCTTACCCCAGGCATATTGAGCTGCCTGCTTCAAAAGGACAACAACAATCACCCTGAGGTACTCCATAAAAATCTGTTTCATTAAATGTCTTCATATAACAAGTTTACATGATACTAAGAAAAAAATCAATGGGCTCCCAAAAACCATGTATATGTGGCTGCCTAGAAGAGAGCAGGAACTCTCTAATTCAGAATCCATTACGCTGTTCATACATTTCAGGTCCCATCCCTCATTAACAGCCACAATTCTATTACCTCCTTGCAATTTGCTCACTCTTTGTTTAATATAGCACATGTTGCAAAATACTGTACTGTGCAATAAACAGCTTCCCCAAGGAATTAATAGCAGCATTTAGGAGAGATGGCAACTACTCAGCAATTTTCTGTTTGCAGTTACTTCCGTCCAGGAACAAGATGCAATTCTCAAACACAACGAAAATCCTCATCCCTACTCAGACTTGAGGAAGTTTATCAGCCACTCAAAATCACAAAATGAGGTTTTTGTACAAAGGACTGTCCATCAGGACTAATTTTAGCTACCGTCATGAGATACAGTGTTAAAATCATTAGTGCAGTGTAATGTCATTTTGTCAGCATTCTCAACAAATAAAAGTCTTAAAATAGGTTACTATAGTAGTAAACCCTGACCTTCATACCTCAGAGCACCATCCAACAAGGTTAATAGAAGGGAGGAAGAAAGACACATCAGTCAAATCAAATTAAAATTCATTTAAATACCAACATTACAGAGACACTTTACATGACATCACAAGACATCAGTGTATTTGTGGGCAGGAACACAACCCCAACCCAGTGTACAGAGCCATCCCGCCTGCTTTTATTTACCAGGGAATTTCTGTCATTTTCTACAATTAAAGAAGACCTTGTACTTCACAAACTTAAGAGTGCCTTAAAAAAGTGGAAAAAAACCCCAAATAAACACACCCCACAAAACCCAAAGTATCTTATAAAGGCTCCATGAGCACCGGGGCCACTGGAATGCTAGCAAATACTCAAATTCAAGTATTTGGGCAGGCAGGGAGAAGCAGAAAGATGGGGAAGAGAAAAATGAGTCAAATTCAGCATCTTCAGGCAGATCATCAGCAATACTATCCTGAAAGGAAATTCTTTTGCTCTACTTTCATGTGTATTAAAACACACATAAAATTAAACACACACTTTAACTACCTGGGGA